CAAACTCGAGGTTGGCAGAAACCAGTCCTTAAGCAATATTTTGCGTTACGATGAAGTGATACGCATCACAAACACACTCGCACTTTTGATTGATTAAGGAGGTCAAGAGACCCTGAGTTTTGTCAAGGTATTCACCAAATAGAAAACAAATGACTATACAATCCAGTCAAGAAGTCTGTTTCGCTTTTGAACTTGAGGCTACACATATATCAGAGAGTCGATGGGAGTTGGTCGTCAACTTTCTGGATACACGGAGGGCAAATTGTAAAGACATACTACATTGACTAGGTGGACTCAAGTGAATGACCACACTTTGATCCTGTTTGTGTGTTTCGGAGACAAAATATACAACCATAGTGTGAGATCCCAAAGTCCTAGATAAGGAAGCCTGTTGGCCTACTTTATATAAGATCCGAACACTGACAGCCTCAACATGTAGTTTCAACATCAGGTTTTAAAAGACCAGAAATAACTTCTCATGAACTCAAATAATTGCATAGGTGGCACTTGAAGATAAACATAAAATCATAGGAGAAGTATTGACAGTGGCGATAGAAGTAATATTAAGTGACGATGGGATCTATTTCACCATTACCAAGATGATCTCTAGTGTTATTAGAAGCAAGAGAGTGGTTGTCATTTTCCGTTTGTCCACACAGAGGAATGGTATTTCCTCCTGAGGGACTTGAGCGGGAGACTGGGTAAGAGGTGATCTTGAAGTCCTGGGAGTGCGGGCCAAGAGACAACCACTTAAGGCCGGTCACACATAACTATTCTATAAGAATTACTTAATATGGTACTTCCAGGTTTCAAAAGGCTTTACTATCGGGGAAGGAAACCAGTAGGATGTGGTGAGGTGACACTTTTACAGTCAAATTACTCATAACCCAACAGATAAATACACTGAAGACTAATGATATAATTTAAACTGATGATAAGAATATAGAAAATTCAAATTTTAGGCCCTGACTGTAACAAATTAAACATTAAAATTCAAATATACTATCACTGGTTTATAGGAAAAAATTCATATTTTTAGGTGGAAAAGATAAAAAGTATACCGTTAATAAGAAAAACCAAATTTCAATTTACTTGATGACAGTTTTTTGCTTAACTAAATACGAGTCAAGTTATCCCGAGTAGGAAACACTATCCATGATACTTAGATTAAGGTACATATAAAACAGTTCGAACCCATAAAAATTTGATAACTAATCACAGAAACCCTAAAATACTGTACCAAGGACTAATGGAAAGATGTAAATCCATAAAATGCTTAGATTTTTAAAAAGCCACAACATCAGCAGCAAAAATTAAGATCGATCTAACTCTACTGATCAGTATAACATGATCTTTATATATATATATATATATATATATATATATATAATTTAAATGTTGACATATACTGAAAATTGAACCGTTTTATGCTGTCAGAACATAGCTATTAAGTTATTTGATTTTAAAATAAAAAACTGAACATGATATAACATTACAAACTCTTTGATGAGTTCAACATTTATGTCATTTTGAAATATAGGAATATCATGACCCAGAGATACTGATGTCATGGAAAGAACAGGTACCCATTACTATGTAGAAAATATACTGGTATTTAACAATTAGATAAACATTATAGCTTACAAAAATAGTGCGTATTTTATATGAAAATAATTATTTTTGCATTGGATAAATTTGTGTTATCCATAAAAATAAACGACAATATTAGGTTGATTAATGAAGTGTTTGTGCATCAAGGAGTGTTAGTGTGTAATAGTTCGACTTGATTTAAGTCATGGCTCCCAAAAGGTGCTTGTTATGATTTCTCTTATTACGACCCAGCTATTATTGCTTAGTGATCTTGGACACTAATTTACTCGGCAAGTCCCCAAATCAGAACACGGTTGAACAGGAACGTAATTATATTCCAAATAACTAGGGTGGGTAGAAGTAGGAATTACAATAAGAAAAACGTTAGTATATAATTTTTACATAAGATTCTACGGTCTCCACCAAGCATCTTCTAGCACTGATTGGTCAAGAAATAGACAATCAGCGTGCCCAAACACAATCCTGCACGGAACATACTTTAATACAATCTATATCCCACTAACAGTGCTCATTTGAAAGTAAACATTTTTAAGTAATTGTGAGAGCTTCTGACACTAATCGACTTCCAAAGTCAGAATTAATGATGTAGAATTTGAACCTCCAACTTATATTTAGAGACAGTAGATAAGTTTCATGCTTGTAAAGTGTTATTTTGTGTTCAAATAAATAAATAAATGTGAAGTGTGATTACACTCTTCAAAGAAACATCTATTATGGTGAGAGACATTAACCACCAACTGATTAACTGCTGGCGCAACTTGACGCCTATAGAACTAAAATGTTCACAGTAATTCGTCTCTGAGTAACAAAGAATATGATGGCATAACGTATACGCTTTATCTGGGTAAAGATAAAAATTCAGAATCTGTTATTCGAAAATAAACTCTACAATCTTAAGATCAGTGTTAAAGCGGGTTTTTTCTTTTTCGCGGTTAGTACGGTTGATAGCAGAGAAACTATCGAAAAGTAGTCACTATAATTGATAGCCTGAATTGAAGAATACTTTCTTATCGTTAATATTATTAATATACATATATGTAAAACACTCGAACTCTCTTAAATAAACAGTGATAAACGAGTAGAAGGTAGAGATAACCGTGCCCCCAAACGCCCTGGTATGACCGAGAGCGGGGTGGGTTCGCCCTCCCTCTCGAAATACTCTCACACGGCCGCGCGTATACAGCCTCTGCCAGAGAAGTCCTACTCACTGCCTTCTCGTGACGGGGGTGTTGTTTACGAAAATGAGAGGACGAAAAGCGAATGTCCGGCGCTTTAACCGGATTCCAAATCTATGGTGCACATGGGCACCAGTATCCTGTGGGAACAAATGGCGTATGAACCAATTTTCGGTCACCGGCTACCATGGGACTGCATCTCCTTACCATGCTCCACTGCCTTGTGGGTTAGACCTTTAGGTCAAGGGCTCGAGGAGTGGCCCCCTAAGATAACCACCTGCTTCGGTCTGGGCACCCGGGCAGTGTCGCAGCCCACACGCAATTAATGAACTGAAATTGTGTGGCGCATATATATTTGGCGCACTCCTGTACCAATATATATGTGTTCAAATAAAATAAATAAAATAAGAGATAACCGTACGTCTTTTTGGATGTAGGACCCTATTTTGTACAAGCTCCGAATGTGAAAATCTAGGTGCAAGAAAACATCAACTTTTACATGGTAACCGTAAATATAAACATCCCATACATGTTTGCACACAAATACCCTCATACACATACAACTATTTAGAGTTGAACTTCGTCGTGACATACCCCAATTTCAAATGCAAAAGTTATAAAATAATGCATTTTTAAGTAAAAAATTATATCAATATATAGCAAATGGTACGACAGAGGGTGGGGAGATTCAGCTTTCCCTCTCCAAATGCTATCACATGACCACGCTTATACAACCATTCCCAGGGAAATCCTACTCACTGCTTTCCCGCAGCTGGGGTGCTGTTTGCGAAATTGACAGAAGAAAAGTAAATGTTCGGCGCTTTAACTGTGTTGGTGAGTACGGAGGATCCAGCTAGGGGAGTTGGAATGTGAACACTATACTGGATGAGTAAAGATAATTTTCCACAAATTGATGAATGAAAAAAGGCAATAAACTCAACATATTTAAGTTAAAACCTTTAATGAAATTAGAAGCTTCATTTTAAGTTCATATAAAAGATCTTTCGCGACTTTAATTTGGGATTCCGCTACACGACAAAAGATTTTCGGGGATAAAAGCAATATTTATTTGAATCAATTTAATTAATAGGCAAAAATCTTAACCTGAAATAGTCGTGGATCCAACAGTTAATAAAAAAGAAGTCTCATTGATGAGCTTATTAACTGAACTACCGTGATTATTTTATTTTATTTGGACACATGAATATTGGTACAAGAGAGCGCCAATATATATGCGCCACACAAAACACAATGAAAATTCGAGAGGAATACAAAGAAAGAAAAAAAAGCTAAGGAGCGCAACAAAAGAGAGAACAATAACGAAGAGATTGGTGCAAGGTAATGTGCTAATAATCAGGGAACGCAAAGGTACAATCAGAAGAAATCTTTCAGGTAAGGGAGACACAACCACTTTTTATGAAGAAAGTAAAAGAAGGTTACAGCAGGATCGCCACTGGCTTCTATTCTGAGCCATATCTGATAACGTCTCTAGCTACTGTGTAGCACCATCTCTCAGACCCCAACTACCGTGATAACTATGAATATTAATTAAGTTATCGTCAGTCAGCTACAACGTAGGACCAGACACATCTATGCACCGGTTCAAGTCGCCATAACTCATTAGCACAACAAGAACACCGGATTCATAAAAGTAGTGGTGGTAATATATAAAAGAAAGATTGCATATAAGGATATAGTACAAGAAGAATTAGTTTGTAGAAATAAAGATATGAAGCCATTTTAATCTCATGCACAGAGAGTGTATACACCTACGCCACTGTGACCGATTCTGAGCCATCTCACACAAAGTCTCCAACCATTCGTTACGATAGTCACACGGACCCCAACCAAGTAACCTGCATCTACCAAAATAGCTTACGAATATCTTCAACTCTTAATGGCAACGTTTCGCAGCCGTAAAGTAAAACAGAACGAACTGCTACGCAGTAATGAAAAGCCACCTCAAAATTTACTGTTTTTTGATAATATTGATTGTCATTTTTTTAAAAAACTTTTAACAACATTTTTTATATTCACAAAATGTTTTGATTCATCAAGCAGTTGACAATAAAATGATTGTAGGAATCACCCTTATATTCTAAGTCAGCACAACTGTGTTAAGCGTATGCTTGACCAGAACACTGAAGTGCTTTAATGAGGAAATTTTAAAAGCAAAACACAACCAATATTAATAAGGAATACACAGTATCTCACCCTCTGCAACTGTTCCCGTAAGCTTTTTTCCTTCATTTCCAAATCATCTGTTGATAGATACTGTGAAGAAAAAAACAAAGGAAAAGAGTAAGATAATGTGAATTTCGGGACTAATTATTAGACTATTAAGTCTGATTAATCCCAAATGAAAATCAAATCGCTGTTAGACTACAAAGTTTTGAATTATTGCACGCCTAAACGAATTTTCACCACTAATGATTTATACGTACATGCGCAGAATACTTTAAAGACCAGTCGAATCAGCGTAAAGCATTTACACAGCTGTAAACCATTTCGCTATTATCAGATAAGTACCAGAGCAGGCAACCATTTTGATTGTAATTATCGCATGTGTGATGCATGATAAAACGCACACCTTAATAAATTTTCTTAGCAGTAGAGAAGTATATTTATCTAAGACTGTTAGTAGGGACGACTTAAAAGTTCTGAATATGGATACCAATCACTGAGTTTAAGTTTCTGAACACAGCCTTTAATGCTTTCTTAGATGGAGTCAGTCTGATTCATCAAGCTATCAAGTCCACATGTCATTCAAAAGTAAATATACAAAATAAACCCTATAACAAAATACTAAGAGCCCATCGTTTTTGTAAAGGACAATGACTCACAAAATGAAAGTCCATTGACAATGGTACCAAGCACTCAAATTACTCATGGTTCTCAGCCCTAAACACAACTACTACTCCATAATAGCATTATTATTTGACTATATTTTCAGATGCCAGGATGTTTGGCATCAACTCGTAAATTCCATGAATTAAAATTGTACTAAGTAGGTTGGTGTATAACTCTTGGACAATCAATCGTGCACATGGGCTCCAGTATCCTGTGGGAACAAATGGCGTATGAACCAATCGTTGGTCACCGGCTACCATGGGATTGCATCTCCTTACCATGCTCCACTGCCTTGTGGGTTAGACCTTTAGGTCAAAGGCTCGGGGAGTGGCCCCCTAAGATAACCACCTGCTTCGGTTTGGGCACCCGGGCAGTATCACAGCCCACACACAAATGATGAACTCTCTATGTCTATGAAAACTACTTTTCTCGCTTCGAAAAACAATCAATTGATTCAAATTATTATCATTACAATTATTTTCATTATTATTATTATTATTATTATTATTATTATTATTATTATTATTATTATTATTATTTTCCACATTATTCACCCTCTTTTATACTTATACAGTGGCTCGTCTTTGGTGGAAATTCGACTGTATCTAAATGTTCTCGAGTCACTGTCCGGTTGAAAATTGTATGTTACCACCGAATATGAGTACTGAAGAAGTTTTTCCGAAACCACGTGAGCCGTTCAAACCGGCTGCCTTCAACGTTCGCACACTTATGCAGGTCGGACAACAGATAGGGCTGGTTATGTCTTTGGAAAGTCTTCATATCGATGTCTGCTGTCTATCCGAGACCCGTATTCAAGACTTTGGAGAAGTACTACAAATTCGCTCTACATCTGTCACTTCAAAAGGCTTGTTTTACGTACGCTTATCCGGGAACCCTGTGGCATCTTCGTCTGGTGTTGCTGGCGTTGGTGTCGCACTAAGCGCTAGAGCTGAGGCAGCAGTCGGTTATGTGCTGTTAGATTAGAGAGTTCCATCAAAGTGAGAAGAAATCGGCGTGAGGAACGATGTCTCTTCGTCATCTCCGCCTATGCCCCGACAGATTGCAGCCCGGATGCAATCAACGATGAGTTTTACCACCAGTTATCTGTTCTTCTCCAGAAAGTGCGTTCGACAGATATTGTAGTACTAGCCGGAGACTTGAATGCTCAGGTCGGGCATCTAGGCACAGAAGAGGGTCGTTTAGGGGGCCGATGGGGACTCGTTGGTCGCAGGTCAGATAACGGGGACCGTCTAGTGCAACTGTGCACAGACCACAACCTGTTTCTGGCTAGCACTAACTTTCGGCACAGTCATCGCCGATGTGCCACCTGGCGTCCTCCCTCTGCATCCCAAGCCTGGACTCAGATTGATCACATCGCGATCAGCTACCGCTGGCGTGGTTGTGTACAAGACTGCCGCTCCTTTTGGAGTACCTATCTGGACTTTGACCATGCCTTGGTCTGCGCCAACCTTGCCTTACTTTTCAGTGCACAACGAAGTGACCGCCATCAACGGATTTATATTAGCAAGCTGGTTGCAACTTCTGTTGCAAGTAAGTATCGAACCGAGCTAGCCTCTAGGCTAGCTACCACTCCACCGAAAAGTATAGATGAGCATTGGTTGCAATTGCATGACGCCATGAAAATGGCGGCTACAGTCAGTCGTGGCTTCGCGAAACGTCCCGCTTATAAGCACTGGGTTTCTTCTGGTTCCTTACAACTCATTGAAGCCCGTCGGTCTACTCCGGGTGACCGTGAGTTTGACCATAAACGAAGGATGTGACGTAAGGAAATTGGGCAAAGCTTGCGTAAGGGCCGAGAAGCCTGGTGGTCGGAGCGTGCTAATGAGCTGGAAGCAGCAGCTGCATCTGGTAACTACCGGAAGCTCTTCCAACTCATCCGAGCCACTGGCAGCAAGGAGTCTGGTGTGAGTGAAACAATCTGCGAGGATGATGGGATGCCAATCACTAACATCCATCGACATCTTGGACGATGGGCAGAATTTTTCGAAGGCCAGTTCAACTGGCCTGCTGCTCCGGCAACATCAGTCAAACCGTCCTGCCCTCCATGGCCGGTGACGACTGATCCACCAAATGAGGCGGAAGTCTGCAAGGAACTCCAACTCTTGAAGCGCTACAAATCACCTGGCCTAGATGACTTACCTCCGGCTCTTTTCAAAGATGGTGGTGACTTTTTGACTAAGGAATTTACGACGTTGTTTACAAGGGTTTGGGAACTAGAGAGTGTACCAACGTCATGGAATGAGTCGATAGTTGTCCCTATCTTTAAAAATGGTTCACGTCGTTCCTGTAACAACTATCGGAGGATAAGTCTACTTCCGATTGCGTCCAAGCTATTGGCTTCCGTCATACTTCGTAGGTTGTTCAAAACCCGAGAAAGATTGACTCGCGAGGAGCAGGCTGGGTTTCGTTCTGGTCGAGGATGTATTGATCATATCTTTACACTCCGCCAAATGTTAGAACACCGCCATACTTATCAAAGGCCAACAATCGTAGTGTTTCTTGACATCAGGGCTGCCTTCGATTCGTTGGATAGGACTGTTCTTTGGGATTGTCTATTGAAGAAGGGTGTGCCTGAGAAGTTTATTAACATCCTAAAAGCCCTATATAAAAACACCTCAGGCAGAGTGAGGGCATACAACCACCTCTCTCCATTGTTCCATTCGAGCAGTGGGGTTAGGCAGGGTTGCCCAATCTCACCATTCCTCTTCAACTTTGCCATCGATGACATTCTGGAAACAGCTCTGATGAATGTAAGTAATGGTGGTGTGGATCTGTTGCCTGGAGAAAAACTTCTCGACCTTGAGTATGCGGACGATATTGTATTACTGTGCGATAATGCCCGATCGAAGCTGCTACCTTGACGCGGTGGTCGGGCTGGCCTATCGTGATGACCCAACCGAGCTATATTGGCTGGAACATATGTTCCTGCAGGTTCTACCATGCCAGGCAGGTCGATTGGAGAACGGTAAGACTAAAAGCAGCAACTCAAGGTCTGAGGGCGAAGTCGTACTGCTGACTGTAGAGAGGTGTGACAGCAGTAAGGTGTTTCCCTCGGACAACCAGCATGACAGCGATGCTGCCTTCCCACAAGGAGGGGTGGGGTTAGAAAAGGTCGACCCTAAAAATGCACACCTCACCTTACCTCACGGATTTCCGTCTCCGGCGGTAAGGCCCCTTGAAGAACAGAGCTAACACGTCAAAAACCTTCCACAAAAAGGCCGTGCGCGACCGGCCTCAAGCAGTTGTCCCTTGGGCTCTGCGGTCACGCTCCCAGGTCGTCAAGACCACTTCTAATCCAATTTCCTTTTCAGGTTCCTCAAGAAATACCCTTCCACGGTGTGGGCAGCCAGGAAGTGACATCAGCCCTCATACCCGTAACAGCACACGAGACCAAGTTGGTCACATTCAAATCCTTCCTACACCTCCTAATACCTCTCTTATCCTCCCGACTAACGCTCCTCAAGTCTCTTTATCACCTCGCACCGCTAGGGCAAACGATTCGAGTACGTGGAACGCTATTCCTGGTCTCCTGAAACCACGCTCTAAACTACACGTAGGAGCTTTTAACGTACGAACACTTTGCCAAATAGGACAGCAGGCTTCCTTAGCTAAAATTTAGAATCTCGTGCCATCGATGTGTGCTGCGTCTCCGAAACGCGCATACAGGATCCAAGTAGCGTCATTCATTTGACCTCACCATGCCAAAATAAAGAACCGACTCGATTTACGCTTCGTGTATCTGGAAGCCCTGATTCTGCTTCCCGTGGCCTCGCCGGCGTAGGTATAGCATTGAGTCCTAGGGCAGAACTAGCTCTCTTAGAGTGGATCCCAGTAAACAGTCGTTTGTGCGCTGTCCGACTGAACGGAACAGTAAGAATCCGGAAAGATAGGGACACTCGTCGTTGCCTCTTCGTCGTCTCTGCTTATTCTCCCACTGACTGCAGCTCAGATGATGTAAAAGATGAGTTTTACAGAAAGCTTTCGGACCTTCTCCGAAAAGCTAGGCGCTCGGATGTAGTAATAGTGGCCGGTGACTTTAATGCTCAAGTAGGTAAACTAAGCGAAACGGAAAGACATCTAGGTGGATCCTATGGTGTCGTGGCTCAAAGAACAGATAATGGCGACCGTCTGTTGCAGCTATGCTCAGATAACCGCCTGTTCCTTGCAAATACTAACTTTAAGCATAAGGAAAAACATCTTTTAACATGGCGACCCCCTAATTCGTCCCAACGTTGGACCCAAATAGATCACACCGCTATCAGCCACCGATGGAGGGGCTCGATAGAAGACTGTCGCTCGTTCTGGAGCACATGCTTAGATACAGATCATGCTCTAGTGCGAGCGCGCGTTTGCTTGCGTCTTACTGGACGTAGGAAAGATCTTGCAAGGAAACCTCTTAGGGCCCTACTTAATGATAGTCAAGCTAAGAGTATATTTCAGGAACAACTAGGAAAACAGTTAGACAGCCATGTATGTGATGCCCACCCCGATGCAGCATGGAATGATATCCGAAAAGCTGTGGAAACAGCAGTGATATCTGCTAGTAAGTTAAACCAGAAGGTTAGGGAGCAACACTGGATCTCAGCAGCATCTATCTCACTGATAAATGCTCGGAAACACATTCCACCTGGCTCTGAACATAATGAAGAGCGGAGTCAGCTTAAGCGCAAGCTGACAAGAAGTCTACGCAATGATCGCGAACAGTGGTTGGTAGCGAAAGCAACGGAGATGGAAAAGGCAGCGGCAATAGGTAATAGCAGACAATTGTTCAGACTCGTTAAGGAAACCGGAATTAGGAACCCGACCGTTAGCGAAACAATCTCAGAGAAAGATGGACATATTATTCATTCTCAATCCAGGAGATTGGATCGATGGGCAGAACACTTTAGGGATCAGTTCAACTGGCCTTCAGCCACATTTCGGTTTCCCACGATCTCCAGTCAACCTGAATGGCAAGTTAATGTAGGTCCTCCGTCCCTTTACGAAGTTGAAAAAGCCATAGGAAATCTGAAACGAGGGAGAGCAGCAGGCCCTGACAGGTTTACTCCTGAGATTTTTAAGGATAGTGGTCCAGTATTAGCAATGAGATTAACCGAGGTCTTAGGTAGAATTTGGGAACTGGACACAATCCCATCTGACTGGTCTCAATCACTGATTGTGCCAGTCTATAAGAAAGGACAAAAGTCCTCTTGTGACAATCACAGAGGAATCAGTTTGACTAATATAGTGTCTAAAATATTAGCCTCAATCATACTTCGACGCCTAACTAAAGCTCGTGAAGAGCAGACTAGAGAAAACCAGGCTGGTTTTCGACCTGGACGTGGTTGTATAGATCAGATATTCACACTATGTCAGGTTCTAGAACACAGACACACATTCAGACGCCCCACAATGGTAGTATTTCTCGACCTTAAGGCGGCATTCGACTCTATTGATCGTGAGGTTCTATGGCAGTGTTTGTCACTGAAAGGAGTACCAAAAAAGTACATTAACCTTATAAAGGCTCTCTACTCGAACACAACTGGTAGAGTGAGAGCTTATGGCGAACTGTCATCAGAATTGATTACCTCAAGTAGTGTTCGTCAGGGCTGCCCACTCTCTCCATTCTTGTTTAACTTTGTCATTGACGTACTTTTAGAGATAACACTTACCTCGTCTAGATTTCCAGGGGTTGAACTTCCACTGGGAGGTTCACTTGTTGACTTAGAATATGCTGATGACATAGTTTTATTCGGTGAAGACGCTGACAAAATGCGGAGTCTTCTGACCACTCTAAGCAACAATGCAAGCATGTTCGGGATGCGATTCTCTCCCTCGAAATGCAAAATGTTGCTTCAGGATTGGGTTACATCGACACCCGAACTAGTGATAGGGAGTGAAGTAGTTGAGTGTGTCGACCGCTTCACTTATCTTGGAAGTCTCATCAGCCCTTGTGGTTTAGTGTGTGACGAAATCTCAGCACGGATACAGAAGGCTCGACTAGCTTTTGCCAACTTGCGTCATTTATGGCGTAGGCGAGATATCCGTCTATCAACAAAAGGACGGGTTTACTGCGCAGCAGTTCGTTCCGTCCTACTTTATGGCAGTGAAACATGGCCGGTAAGAGTAGAGGATATCCGTAGGTTACTAGTATTTGATCATAGGTGTCTTCGAAACATTGCTCGTATATCATGGGACCATCGAGTAAGTAACACAGTTGTTAGGAAACGGGTACTAGGTAAGGATGGCAAATCAATTGATGAAGTGATGAAACTTCATCAGTTGAGATGGCTGGGACATGTGTTACGTATGCCAAACGACCGACTACCTCGACGTGCTATGTTCAGTGGTATAGGAGTAGGTTGGAAGAAAGCTAGGGGCGGCCAAACCAAAACATGGCACAAGTCCATGAAGTCACTGACAAGTGGACTGAGTCATGTTGGTAGGTGTAGACTACCTGGTTGGGGACCACGAGATGATAGCAACCGATGGTTAGAGACCCTGAATGACATGGCTGAAAATCGCTTGCAATGGTGTGCGCAGGTGCATCCACTCTCTGTGTTCTCCCAAATTCTAATCTTCTGAAGTCTTCATGTCCCTTTCTTTTTTTCTCTTTCCAAATTTATTTCACTGTATTATACTCTTTAAATAAAATCTCCAAACCCTAATCTTCCCGATTACTGCTTATACTCTTATTACCTCTACCACTACGGGATTTGAATCGACAAGTGCATCTCTGTGCTAATGTGGTATGGCAACTCGAACTAATGTACGTACGTACGAAGTTCTACGTTGTTACTGACTGACTGACTGACTGATAATGCCCAAGGCATGCAATGCGCACTTAATCAGTTGGCAATCAGTGTCCGTAGGTATGGCATGTGCTTTGCACCTTCGAAGTGCAAAGTACTCCTACAAGACTGGCAGGATTCCAATCCTGTACTCACCCTGGATGGTGAGCAGATAGACGTAGTCGAGAAGTTCGTGTATCTGAGTAGCTGCATCAGTGCTGGTGGGGGTGTGAGTGATGAGATCAATGCACGAATAGTGAAAGCCAGAGCGGCTTATGCCAATCTGGGCCACCTTTGGCGCCTTCGTGATGTTAGTCTGGCCGTAAAAGGTCGGATCTACAACGCGTCGGTGAGAGCAGTTTTACTCTATGTTTGTGAAACCTGGTCACTCAGAGTTGAGGACGTTAGACGACTCTCTGTGTTCGATCATCACTGTCTCCGAAGGATTGCTGTCATCCAGTGGCAACACCATGTTAGTAATGCAGAGGTTCGGCATCGTGTGTCCGGACACAGACGCGATAATGCAATTGGTGTCACCATCTTGAAACACCGATTTCGGTGGCTTGGACATGTTCTCCGAATGTCGTTCCAGAGAATTCCACGTCGTGCATTATTTGCCGACTCTGAGACTGGTTGGAAGAAGCGGAGAGGTGGTCAGTATATGACATGGTGTCGTGGCATGAAAGAAAGCTGCAAAGGACTGGCTTCTGTTGGTCGTTCACGACTCCCTGGTTGGGGTCTGAGAGATGGTGCTACACAGTAGCTAGAGACGTTATCAGATATGGCTCAGAATAGAAGCCAGTGGCGATCCTGCTGTAACCTTCTTTTACTTTCTTCATAAAAAGTGGTTGTGTCTCCCTTACCTGAAAGATTTCTTCTGATTGTACCTTTCTGTTCCCTCATTTTTACCATACTACGTTACACCAATCTCCTCGTTATTGTTCTCTTTTTTTGCGCTCCTTAGCTTTTTTTTCTATTTCTCTTCGAATTCTCATTGTTTTGTGTGGCGCATATATATGGCGCTCTCTCTCTCATGGACAATCTAAGGCACGTTTAGTTTAATAAACGCACTATATAGGGCATATCTGTGGAGTGCCTCTGGAGACACTTAAGAAATGGAAGATAGAATGCCTTTGAAAGCCGAAAACTTCATGAGTGCAGAGCCTTATCCAGTTAGAAATTGTTCTTCAAACTACCAACTCCATAAAAACGCATTACAATCTACACGGTTACCATGTTCGACGCGTGGTTTGATACAAAATATTTAACTTGTAAACACTAGTTTGCAAACTAAGCATAAAAAATGCCAGACATGAATGGTGAACAGCCTTATATCATGAGTACATATGACGCGGTGACGAAATCTCGAAAACATTATATATTAACAAATCCCCACAGATCTTTTGATGATGATTTGTTTGCTAAACTTTCCCTTCTCGTCAGACACAAATTTGAAGCATCCAGGCAAGGAAAAACGTCTATTCAAATAAAACCGAAACATAACATAGGTCCTTACACTTCCCCAGACATGCATATCGAAAATCCTAAGACCATGAGTCATTATACGCTCCTTTATCCACTGACAAATTCAATTCTGGTGAACTTAAAGACCAACTCAACTGAAAAACCAAACGGCTAGCGACGAAACATCAGTAGCTGGCAGTGCTTAAGTTAAGGTTTTCTAAAACTAACTAACATACTTTTGTGTAACATTACTTACCTGTATATCATTTAGCTCAGCACGTCTCAAAGCTTCTAATGTGGATGTACTTTGCGATTCGAGGTCTTGAACTTTCCTTTAAGAATACAATGTAACCAAATTATAATCATACGACTCGGTTGCATTGGCTCGTTTTTCAGCATTTTCTTTGGCGAATTCTACATGTTTCAGATGAATTACAGTCTACAAATACAACAAGAGAGAAGTAGACAGACCTCGTCAACACGAGTCTGGACTTCTAGGCACTCGTTCCGCAATCGCATCAGCTCTGCCTCCAATTCATCTATTCTTGAGTCCTGGCTATAATTCTTGTTATTCAAGTTTTCCAATTTCCTAAAAATTTTCAAAAACGCAGTACTGAGTTTACCTAGAATGATGATCGTGACTATCTCTGTGATCAGAGAGCCTGTTAAGAGCATCCTTTAGTCTGTCATTTTGCATTTGACACTTCTGCTTAAGTAACATTTCTTTAGTAGCAAGTTCATACTGTTCTGAATTAACCTAAAAACACGTTATGGACAAAAAGAACTACGTGCCTTGTGAGTTGCATCGACCACACACTTAATTTGATTTTCAATGTCTGAAACTTTACTTCTCAAATCGTCTTCTTCTTCTCTAAATTCATTCAGTCGCTTTCTTAGAACATCCATCACTAACCATAATTTTCGGAAAACCGCTTCAGTAGGAATAATTCAGAATCTAAAGCATACAAACACATATATTGATCTCATTTCATATTTCGTTTATTTGCTATCCGATTTCTCCAGTATGACAACCTTGTGTAAACTGTTCCATCAATTTGCATCAGCTTCTTGCTTTTTCGGTACAGCTCCGGGTAGTCGGTAATCGATGGACGGTAGTCTAACCTCTCGACTATACTACTGCTGCTCAGTTTGGTAGTTAATTGTAGGCCTGCATATCCTTCAATCTGAGTGATCACATCGGTCGCAAAGCATCAGAGTTTATGGAAACAGTGGGTATCACATTACCAGGCAAAAGATTGGTTGGTTGCAATATGAAAAATAGATGGGCGAAAATTCGGATACTAGATGATGATTTCAAGAACTAAGTAAATATGTTATTAGTTGATTAATTAGAACTTCAGGCAGTGTGAGACTGAAGTGTAAGGGGCATCGGAGATGATCATAGGCGTGACAGGTTCAAACTAGTGGTATGTGGTAGTGGCAATAGTAGGTAAGTTATTAGACATGCATGAGGCACAGCTAGCCCAAACAAGAGATGATGATCCACCAGTGTTTACGTGTTCATGGGTAACTTCTCTCTACTGATTCTGAGACATGAACGTCTTCGACTAGAAGCTGGTCATTTCTTAGCGAATGGTCTAATTTTGAGTGATATTCATCTTTGCTCCATCCTGCGATATCACCCACATTTTCTGTCGGTCCCAAACTTCATATGGCTGAACAAGTCTATTGTGAAATCGCCCTGTGGAGGTTGTGTTTCGCTTGTTGAGATTAAGGGATGCAGTGCTGAAATCCCTAGCTGGATATTACGAAATAACTGATGACTAATGTTACGTGAAAGCACCACTAGTCAGAATCACGATTGATATGACTTAGTATCTCCGAGTTGACTAATTAAACGTCCAATCAGCACTAGTAACCCTATGTTAACAGCTTTGTCTTTATTGGTCTACATCCCTTTAACTTCTCTTTCTACCCTGAACTTGAGTACATAAACCTGTGGCCAGACTCAAGATCAGATATTATATTTCAAGCACAAGTAGTTGTTCACAGCTATCAGACACGAAGACTTGACGGTCGTGAAGTATAACGAATGGGATAGCTCGAAAACGTTATTTGTCATCGTAGTATGAAGGCCTTAGTAACTTGATATCCAAATCCACTGTTGCATAGCTTGTTCGCTGACATCGTCAGGACCATCCCTCTCCAGTTTGGTACTCCGTAAAACAATGATGACCGGTTATCGGGTGTTTGTTCGTTATGTTTGAGTGGTATCCCCTTCGGCACAACTTTTACCACATCGAAGACAGGTTTGAGAGAACCGTTCAACCAATAGTCTCTGAGATGTTAGCAAGACTTCTACCATAACGTTACTCTTAACTAAGTTTCTTTAAATTTCGCCACATTTGGGTCCGTATATCAGCGGCATTTTACTACGGAATTGTTACCCCTGCATTATGACCTACATCAGTATCCCTTGTAGTTTTAGTGTAATTACTATGGGCAGCATGGTTACTGTGCACATATAAAATAACGCTCGATTCTATTCCTCATATCAATGGAACACTAATTAGCCGCGGACAAATATCTACACCAAATACCCTCCCAATTTTTATTTAGCAGAACTTCGACACGACTGGGATCGAAAACACATGACTGGCTTGACCAGAACGTGAGTATATTTCCGTGTCAACAACTATTTATTATTTTCCTCGCCTACACATCAATATTACTCCATGGACTAAGGGGCCGTGTAGGTAACAATCTAGGGAGGAGATATACATGAATATATTAATAATATTTTTCTGACACATCAGGTACAAGTCAATCCAAAAGATATGTTCAATAATTTACAACATGAGTTCGAGAATGGGTTATGATGCTGAGTAAACAAATGGGAGTAGTGATAGAATATTCGCGTGGATATAAAAATGGGTTTATGGTAGTGCACTGTTAGTTTATGACCTGTTCAAAAACGGCATCACGTAAATACTGCGACCTTAACGAACACACCTAGTCGAAAAGTGATCATTCGCGTGGAGTTATGTTGTCACTAAGCATTCGTGTGACGCAAATATTTATTGAATTTATGGTTGTTGTAGAATATCCACTTGAAAGTAGACCGTTGGTAGTTGGGCAGGAAATCGTAATATTTAGTTGGTAAATCTTTAGGATAGTAGCGAGCGTGCATTGTGGTTGAATATTGTTGAGTGGAATTGATAGGTTGAGTGAATTATCTGTTTAGTTTGATCGTAGATTAAAGAGGGACATGTAGCCACGGGGAAGTAACTAACATAACTTCAAAGAAGAAAAAATAGAGAAATGAAACTAATGTTGTGATGTAATTTGGACGTGAGAGAGTCTGTGATATCTAGGCAAATTGTAAATTTGTTCGCACCTGCATGTGAAAGTGGGAGTTTCAACAACAAATATTGTGAGATTTTTATCATCCATATGTCATTCGTATTTCGAAGAGAAGACTTTTTCATATTATTGCATACTTCATGAGATTTTCTCCAGTATTTTTCGACTTTGACCGTGGACGTTTCATCTCAGATATCGTATATATCTGAGCCTTCGGCAAGCACTATATTTCGAGTGTAGTAAGTAAGATTTCTGGGCTCGAGAAAGAGAACCATAGCGAACATAATCCCTTCTTCCAAAAGGGTTCAAGCCCCAGGATATGGTATCAGCAACGGTAGTCAATGAGTGGATCAGTTTTAAGCATTCTGAGTGTGAAATCTCATTGTATCCCTTCCACCTCCAGTACATGGTATAAGCGTAAGTCGGAAAATAAGAACAAAGTGTATTCAACGATAGGTCTTACACATAACTTTTAAAGAATGATTCCAAATTCCTTTCAAAAAAGTAAAAAATTATAAAGTCTAGAAATCTTCGCAACTTCAATGCTTTAGTGGCGATGGGTTTAGAGAAGTTTAGACTGCGTGGGTAATACACTCCAAGGTCAGGTACTGAAGTGAGTTCGGGCAGTACATACTTGTTAACTTTCAGTCTCGTTTCCAACACATAGCTATAGCGTCTACACCAGTTATCTACTTTGTTCAGTTCATGCTCGAATGTTCGTGCAACGCTTGGCATGCGTCAGATGTTGGTTTCGCAGATGAGTTTTAAGTCATCAACGTAAAGGTAGGTCTTTCCGGAGTTGAAGTAGGTGCATATGTTATTGATTTAGACTAGAAAAAGCAGTGGGCTCAAAGCATTACCCTAAGCATTACTACTGATTATTGATCGAGGTGTGGATACCGTAGTTAATTTAATAATTCGGTTTGTTTGCGAGAGATTTAATCCATTGCAATATAAGACTAGTGATTACGACTTACTAAAGTCTGTTGGTTTAAAGATTATTGGGAACCTTAAGCAGTATTGCGAGGAGTGGATTAAGCCTTCCTCAAGTAGGTGGGCAAACAAATAATCTTTCCTCTCTTTTTTCATTATGCTTGATATAACAGATGTGACATTTATTAATCCTTAGTTCTGGGATAGGTTTTTTGGCAATTGTCTACATTTGGAGAAAACTTACATGACATCCCAGGTTTCAGAATATGAGCCTTCTTCTAAGGATAGTGTAAACATTTTAAGTAATGAGGTTTGCACATCCAGCTCAGATATTATGTAGGGAATCGATGAGACACTACCTTGACCAAAATTTGCATTCGACTTAATGGTCTTAACGGCAGAGTGGATAATAATGTGATCAAAGTTAGTGATATTAGGATTATTTACAACGGAAAGTATATACTAATAATCCTCCTAAATTGTCTTTTTGAACAGTGATGTTATTTCTTCGTTCTTTTTTGTTTTATATTTCAACCCTCACTCAGGTCTATTGTACCCATATCTTATTTTCTTCAGCCTTCTTCATCTTAACCAATTTCGGTTAGTTTTGGTCAAAGATTTACCATTAATGCTTAATTTTACTGTTTCATATAGCTCAATTCAAAGTTGCAACGCGGTTCAGTTGCTGATTGTTGAATTCGGTCGTAAAATGTGGAGACTATACATTAAATACATCATTTACAAGTACTCCATCAACCGTCCTTCACATTCTTTATACAGTGCTAATTCCGAATTCCTTTTTGTTTCCCTTCGTATTTTCTTCAGTTCAATCCCAAACTTCAGTTCCCAAACATTCCACTCCTGAGTGGCGTTACATACTACTTATTGTAAGATCCATTTTGAAGGTTTTATGTGTTGGTGAAAATCCCTCCATGTATATACTTGTACTTTATTCCTATTGATCGCATTAGTTGTACATTGTTGTATTTTGATTACATTTGAATTGTTAATATTTGTATTTTTGTTATAGTTTTTGTTTTTATTACGCATTCACTAAGTTTGTGTTTCTTCCTGAACTGCATCTGCGTTGTTTTACTTGACACTTGTTCTTGGCGGTAGCCATATTGATTTGTTCCTCCTGTTGTGTGTGATCTATCCAGCCAGGATAGAATAACGTTGATTTGTTGTGATTGGTAATTTTTCCTCATCTTCTATCAACTTCTTTATTTATTGTAATTTAGATTTAATTGATTGAACAATCATTGGTTGAATAGCCGGGTGATAATATTTGTTTAGGTAATGATTTACATTAAATTTATTATGAATTATAGAACCGCTATCTTACCCAATTACCTTGTTCTGATTTCAAACGGGCAAGGGCGCGTATCCAACTTATCCAAGCAGCTGTCCAGCAGTCCAAACGTGGTTTGGATCCTATAGTTCTAAACAAATATTACTTGGCCGAAATCCTTTGGTAATCGTTCACGGATTTTCTGGAAATAATTGGTCGTGTCGCTTATAATGCCAGTTAATCGTCGAAGGAGATCAGGCTCAAAGTTCGTCGATGTTAACGAAGAATCCCCTATTGTCAAGCAAGTGCCTTTTGACGTCCTTAAGGGTCATGGTTCAGACTTAAATAGGGTTCATTATCATGGCAGTGATTCGAGCCTTAATTCGATGTCAGATGATGTAAAAAA